GCCTCCATCACCTCCGCCATCACCAGCGCGGTGGTGGCCAGCGTGGACGCCACCCTCACGGCGGGCCTGGCTCAGATCCAAGGGGTCATGGAGGCACGAGTCGGAGCGGTGGAAGGGCGCCTTCAGGGAGTGGAGCAGAAGCAGCTGGACATCGAGAGGAGGCTGCGTGACGACATCGCGCAGCTTCGCGAGCGGATGGGCATCATGTCCCGCGCGGAGCCATGCGCCGCGCCAGCGGGACCAGACTGGGACCGCCCCCTGACTTGGCCGCGGTGGTCCTGTGGTGCAAAGAGGAGCTCCCCGCAGCCGCCTTCAAGCAGGCCATCGACCCCATCTTGGTGGACGCGGGCATGGGTCCGGACACGTTCGTGGTGGAGGCGGAGCCGCTCGGCAAGCGCTGCGTCTACCGCTTCAAGGGGCCGCCCGAGCTTGGGGCCAGGCGGGCTGCCAAGGTGCTGGGCTGCATGCGCCTGGGCCGTGGCGAGTGGCGCAAGCCTCGAGCCACTGCGCCTGCTGGGCACGAAGCTGATGTCTATGTGGCAGCCGACCAGAATCGCAAGCAGGTGCTGCACGAGCTCACGCTCAAGAAGCTCGCCATCGCGCTGGGGCGCGTCGTCGGCGAGGGGCACCGCATCTTCGTGGATAAGCAGAAGTTCACCCTCTCCACCCATTGGAAGTCGTTCCTCCGCCATATCGACGGCCCCAACGCCGAGCCTGTGGTGGTCTGGTCGCCGTCATCGCTGGCGGCCGTCGGCCTGCGCCGTGAGGACCTCGAGCCGACGGTCGACGCGGCCCTGGCCCCAGATGATGATGATTGGTGTCTTTAGCACGTTCATCAGGCTCTTCGCCGCCCCGACGAGCAAGGGGCTCACCTTCGCCACTTGGAATGCGCGGGCATTCTGCTACTACAAGGCGGACGTGGCGGCGCAGAAGAGCGAGTACTTCGGCTCTGCGCTCCGTGCAGGGGCTATCGTGGGTATTCAAGAGGTCCACGGGTCGGCCGCGCGCTTGCGTATGCTGATGGATCGCGCGGGGCTGGACTACCAAATGTTCTTCTCCTTCGGCGACAACGCGGACGAGTCCCTCGGAAGCGTCGCCGCCATCTTCCCCTTCAAGGCTCGAGAGGGCCTCGACGTACGCAAGACGTCCTGCACCAAGGCGCGGGTGATTCGCGTCGCCGCCACGGTCACAGCGGGCCGCCGCCAGGGCTACTCGCTGAGGCACTGGAACATTCATGACCATGCTCTATCGCGGGAACAGGCGGCGAGAGTTGCGGCAGCCATCAAGAGCGACCTCCGTGACATGGAGCTGAATCCAAGACGTTGCTGCGTGGTGGTCGTGGGCGATTTCAATTACGGCGAGCACGTGGAGGTGGAGGGCCCTCTGGCACCAGGCGGAGGACGCCGAGCAGCCATCCACCCTCGAGGTCGTGCTTGGACCCAGGCGCTGGCAGCCGCCACGGACAGACGCATCAGCATGGGCAAGTGCATGGTGAACCACATGAGCTACACCTCCGTGGCCTTTCGGACCATGCGATGTTCTCGGTCTCCTGGGCGCCTCGCCCGCCGCGTAAGCGGCCCACCGCGGGCGTCATCAACCCCGCCCCCTCCTTCGTCTCCGAGAGCCCGAAGCTTGTCGAGATGATCAAGTCATGCGAGCTCGCCGTCCCTCTCTCTGGTCTTTTTCCTCCTGATCGCGTGCACTACTACACGAAGCCCTTGCAGACGGCTGCTGCTGCAGCCAGGGATGCCATCGTTCGAGGCGAACCTGGCCAGAAGGCTCTGGCGGCCCTCATCCGGCGGCAGCTTGGCAGAGCGGTTTGGCGGCAGAACATCCCGGTGACCGAGGCCCCCCTCCGCGCCCATGAGTGGGCGCGCCAGCTGATCGACCTGCGGGAGCGACCAGGCGGGGCTGGGCGACACGTGCTGTTGCTGTAGCCGCAGGAGTTCTCGCGGCGCTACAGGCTGGCGCAGCACCGAGAGGCGCAGGCGCAGCTGAGGCAGCGACAGCAGGACATCGACGACGAGCAGCGGGAATCCACCAAGGCAGCCATGATGAGGCAACAGAGAGCGCTGCGGCGCCGTGCGGCCTTGTGGGCCCCATCCTCGGCGCGGCGATTCCTTGGCGGCATCGAGCTCGATGGCGGCGCCGTCGCCAGGTCGGGGCAGGACGTCCAGCGCGCCCTGGCAGGCTACTGGCGCGGGGTCTTCGGCGACGACGTGGCCAAGAGGCAGCAGCTTGCAGATGACATGATGCGCGACCTCCATGTCCCAGAACGGCGTTTCCGGAACATGGGCCCGCCCATGACTTTCAAGAATGGCGTCTTGGCGCCCCTGCCTCGTTCTGCTCCCCGTGCTGGCCGACGTCGGCGGGAGCTGCAGGATGGATACCTCCGCTGCTACGGCATCCAGGGCGTTGACTGGGCCTCACTGGAGCACCCCTCGGCGAGCACCATCGCCACCGCCCTGCGCAGGGCGCGCAAGTCTGCGCCTGGCCCTGA